AACCTGATCCAGAAGCTCGCCGACGTTGTCACTCAACGTGCGTCATGCGTGCTCGAGCTTGAGGGAGGAGCTCAGCTAACGCTTCGGCCAGCCCCCCAGCGCCGCCGCCCACCGCCACCCACAAAGCACCTGCTCTACTATCCCGTACCTGGCTGGCTGATGCTCACCCCCCCCGCTCCACTTTCCCCTGATCATGCCCGTGATAGCACCATCACTGTCGCCGTCCTGGTTTTGAACGTGGCAGCTAGACTCTAGGAACTCGGTAGTTGTGACCCCTCGTGAGTGAGGAGCAGGAGAGAGAGCTTTGTGGTGTTGGTGTGGTTGTCTCTCTATCTCCTCTTCTAGCTCTTAGCATGAGCTGCGCCCTGTGTCCGACCCCTTTTGCGCAGCAACACCTTAAACTTTTAGGCCCTCCAAATTCGGGTCGGAGCGTAGCGGAGTGGGCCCCGAGTTTGAAAAGGGCGACGGACGCTTGCGTCCTAGCCTCCAACAACGCCTCCCCGGCGCAGAGGGGCCCCCGGAGGGATGCACAACCGCTCCACGCCACGCCGCTTGCGGCGGTCCTCTTCCCAGCTCCGCTGAGGGCCCGTGCGTTATTAATTTTTTTAATTGCGCTGGTTCACGGAAGGTGCCACAGCTCGCCCGAGCCTGCAGCACACTTCGTCGCTCTTCCTCGGACTGAGCTACGACTGTGGACTGTGAGAGCTAGGACTGTGAGAGCTAGGACAGCTCAACACCAGGCAGCAGCCCAGGGACTTCTTCGAACGACTGTGCGACGATGGCTTGCTCGGCCCCGAGCTCAACGACTAGCTTGACAACAGGCAGCCCGGGGACTTCTGGTTCGGAGTGGAGCACCCCGTCAGGCGCGTGCTCTCGCTCGGAGAGCACGCCGCAATCGTTGCTCAGCAGCCCGCGTTCCCCGATGCTGGCTTATGTGGACACGACACTCGGGACCTTCTTTCTGCGCCATGGCTGCGACATTGGGTCACCGCTGCTCCGCTCGCTCTCGGCATCATCCTCGCCGGGTGTCTCGACATTGGGTCACACGCTGCCGAGCCCGCTGAGCACCCTGGTCAGAAGTGAAGAGTATTCAAGCTCGGCATCCTGCGGCTCTGAGCCGTCGCTGTCTCGTATCGACATGTCCCTGGGATCCTTCACCCGCCGCTTCGCCCACGAGATTGGCTCTCCTCTCTACCGCTCACTCTCTGCGGCGGTCTCGCCGAGGCCCGAGGGCTCCAAGGCAGCTCGGGCCCCCACCTCGCCAGTCTCGCTCGGCCCAAACCGGCCGGGTGGAGCGGCGGGATGGAGCATTGCAGCCGATCGGGACGGTGCTGTCACGGAGCTGTGCGGCGGCGCCAGCTCGAAGCGGTTTACGCGGAACCTGTCAAGTGGGGGCCTCGATTCAGCGATCGCGGGCCTGTGCAAGGCAGGCCTGGAGGAGCGCGAGGCGGCATCTGCAGATCGATAGGCGAGTAGAGAGAATCTGTTTCACTGAGCGCGCTTCCAGCAGGCAAGAACGCGTGAAGGTTCGTACACTATATCCCCAGCTAGTAGCTGAAGCTAGAGTTGCGGGCACTGAGAGAAGCGGAGAGAGTTTGTGTCATTGCAACGTATGAATGAATGCCCTCTAAACACTAAAGCTGAGATTACATGTGGGGGTGTGTTCTCCTCTCGGCTTGTTGCACGAGTATATGGGACACGATGTCTCAAATATGAGGGGTTTTGACTCCTACCGGCTCCTGACGCTATCCCTGGCAGCTCTAATGACCAGGATCAGTAGTGTTGTGATAGAGGGTGCCCATACTAGCGCAGGAGCTGCCACACTCGCCCGGACCGTCCCCTTCTGGGGCCGGTTCCGCAGCCCGCGAGAGCCGACAGCGGGGCCGTGCCGCGGGTGCCTACTGCCGAGTGCCACAAACACTGCGCCGTCCCGCCATCACCTACAGGCTGTCTTGTGTGATGGTTGGGATGTCCAAACGCCACCATCTTGGCTCTTGCGACCTCAAACCCGCGAGCTGTATGGGTGGTCCTGACGTCGACAGACGCCCGATGACCACGGTGAAGCTGAGCCGGAACGCGTCGACAGGTCTCGTCTGAGCCCGTGGCGGTCGCCGGCTGAGTCGCTGTGCACGGACCGGTACCTCAGGCGTCACCTCCGCAGCCTCAGGTCTCACACTCCACCACCTCCGCCAGGACGCCGTCGGTGGCACGCTCGGCGGCGAGTTTGTGGCAGCTCCATCTCGAGTACGGCGTCGAGCCTACTCACTCCAGTTGGTTCGGCACACTCGGTGGGGTCCACTGAGTGTGCCGAACGCGCGAGCGGTGCGTCCTGGCAGCGCGCGCAGGCTGCGGAGCTGCCACAAACTCGAGACACGCTTTTTGGGACATTTTCGACGCTTTTGTCCCATATACTCGTGCAACAAGCCTCTCGGGCTCGGCGTGCGGGGGTGCGCAGCGGCGGCGCCACTGTGATATATTGCCGACCGATCACGATCCAGCTCTCAAGACGACACAAACTGCGCGTGGGGCCTTTAGGGGCCTAGAGAACACATCCACATGAGCCGATGGGTGAAAGGGAAGACCCGCCCGAGGTCTGATGCTCACCCATTGAGGAAGTGAGGAACTGCTGCTCGGCCCACACCCGGATCCTGCTGAACAAGCAGCTCCTCTTGTAGCTCGATCGGTCACACCGCCATCGCCGCCGACGTCTCAGTGTGAGATGAGGGAGAGGGGGGACGACACTGCTTCTGCAGCGTGCACCTCGATCCTGTACCGTGTGTTTGTTATGACCCCCCCCGATGAGCACACCAGCGAGGGGGGGCGAGACGGTCGAGGGGTCCCGTACCATGCGGAATCGACCCTATCCAGTGCTCCAGTGCTCAGCACACCCGGCTCTCCCTTCCCTAACAATGAAAGTAGCAACGCGGAGCCAGGCACGGTAGGCTAACCTCGGAATGTAAGCGCACTTGGCTTGCTGTCTCCTACACAGCCATCTTACCTAAGGATGGCTGAGCTAGCTGCAGTGCAGCCATAGCCTCCAGGCCGATGGCTGCAATACACACAGGGCAGCCATCCTGAGTAGGGTTGGCTGGAAGCTCGCTGCTGCAGCCATACCGCACGCCCCGGGGCGGGCCCTCATGGCTGAGCTGGCTATATCGCAGCCATCTTGGGTAAGATGGCTGGGGGACAGACATTTCAGCCATCTACTATGGCTGGGGCACACAGTCAGTGCAGCCATCCTCCGGAGCATGGCTGGTGATAATTCGATGGCAGCCGTCCGCCGCCCCCGCCACACGCACAAATGGCTGCGCGCTTGCCGCCCCCGGCCTCGCGGGACGGCTGCCATTGGCTGCGCCATCGAATTATCACCAGGCAGCCATGGCTCTGGAGGATGGCTGCAATCTCTGTGCCCCAGCCATAGTAGATGGCTGAAATGGCTGAAATGGCTGTCCCCCAGCCATCTTACCCAAGATGGCTGCGATGTAGCCAGCTCAGCCAAGAGGGCTCACCTCGAGGCGGGCGGTATGGCTGCGGTAGTGCGTCTCCAGCCATGTCTACTAAGGATGGCTGCCGTGTGTGTGTTGCAGCCATCGGGCTGAAGGATGTGGTTGCACTGTAGCTAGCTCAGCCATCCTTAGGTAAGATGGCTGTGTAGGAGACAGCACAGCCATAGTGCGCTTACATTCCGAGGTTAGCCGGCACGGTAGTTCGATTTGGTCGATTTGGCGACCCTCCGCCGCGAGCCCGCCCCTGCATCCCGGGGGCCCGGCCGACCTGGATCCTCCTGGCACTCCTCGGCTTCCTCCCGACGGTCGGCGGCACCAACCCCGTGCGCTTTGAGTCAGCTCGATCCTCGGCATGCGCATTCTGAGGAGCCGCTCCGACTTCCCCACAACTGCCTGGACAGTACCTTGGCGTATCAGCGAGACACGTACACGAATGTGACCGGCCGGGATCTGTAGCTCGAGGCGGGACGCACGACTTCCCTCTTCAAAACCATGACCGAGACACTCGACCTCGCCCGTACCAACAATTGCGAGCGGCGTCAAAACGGACGATTTGAAGCCGATCAAAGACCTGCTAATTCGTCAGCATATAGTCTTGAAGGCAACAGAACACTTCGGCCGCTTCGTTCTCAACGACAGCGCTCGCACAAGGCCGTCCTCATGGCGGAGGTAGGTGCGATGACGTATTAGACTACATTTGGAGGCAGGAAATGTTGCTGCACCACCAGGACAAGCAAGTCTTCAAAGATCGAGAAGCTGCAACAACTACACAGTGAAAGGCAACGCACGGAGCTACTGATGGGAGCAGTTTTGGTATGCGTCTTCCTCCTCTCTTTCCTAAAAGGGTTGCAGGATTGGCTTCTGCCGCATATCCATGGCGAGGTGCGCAAGGCGTGCCTGTCAGAGCAATCAGAGGGGTGGCCGTTCCCGCAGCACGACTGGTTCGAGTTCCAGTTGTTGTCGACGCCGAGACGGTTGACAACTTCACGGCTTGCCTTCTCCGAAGTCTTACGGAGAGAGAGTTGAGAGAGAGAGATTTTTAGGAGGCCAATGGTCCACAATTCACAACGCTTCCAATATTGATTGTGTACCAGAGAGACAGGTGTGGGAGCTGTGGGAGCGGCCTCTTCAAATCAACTGAGCCAGTTAGTTGGTTAGAGGCGTGTGTGAGTGGTTGCTATTTTCAGTGTATGTAGCAGTGTAGGTAGCTCTTACGTACATTCCCGGAGGAAGGAGCACTGCTGACGGGGGATTGCGATGTCCGATGAGAAGCGATCCGAACGTGGCATTTTCAACGATCGGCGTCCATTCGTCGCAAACACTTGTGTGCCGTTTGCGTCGCTGGCACTAGACGCGCCACGCCTGGAGGGCGGGCCCGGCGCCACATGGCGCCGGGCCGCCGGCCAAACCGTTAGTTTCTCCCAAAAGCTAAAAGCAAACTTGCCAAGTCGCGAAAAGTACGGACGGCTACACGGTGTCAGGACTGGGCACGTAATGACTCTTTCACCCTCCGCCGCGTCGGGCGCGCGACGGCTTCGTCGGCTCACGACAGCCCGTCGTCTCTTCCGGAGACGGACGCAGAGCAATTCGCCCTCAGCGGACCCTGAAACGGCCGAGATCCGTGCGACGTTCGACTCCTTCGACACCGACGGATCAGGAAGCGTGAGTGCCGACGAGCTGGAGGCTATGCTGGGGCAACTCGGGTTTACCGCCGGTGAGGTGGCTGAGATGGTATCGCAAGCAGACACCGACAAGAACGGAGAACTGGATTTCGATGAGTTTCGGACTCTCATCAATGAGGACGGCTCGTACGGCTCGTATGGATACTCGTATGGTGGCTGGCCAAGTGCTTATGGTCCAAGCGAGGCCGAGGAGAAGCAGCTCTTTGACCTGTTCGACACGGACAAGTCGGGTTCGATCGACACGAATGAGCTGTACGCGATGCTGCGCCAGCTCGGCATCGACGCGCGCGTGGCGCAAGTCCAGGACTACCTCGACCGGCTGGACAGTGACCACAACGGCACGCTCGATTACGACGAGTTCAAGGATCTCGCGAAAGAGCTCATGCAGGGGTCGTACGCGTCTTACTACTCTTACGAAGGCGCAGCCCTTCCCGACGAGGAAGCCCTCCGCGAAATTTTCGACGCATTCGACACCGATGGCAACGGTGAAATGGACGCGAGCGAGTTTGGCGCCTCCCTGGAAATGCTCGGCTACGAAGGAGGCGACTCCGACACTCTGCTGCGGGATCTTGACAAAGACTCATCCTCCACGCTGACCTTCGACGAGTGGCGCAAACTCTTCGAGGAGCAGGTAGAGCAGCAGGCCAAGCCTCCGCGGGACGGCTGCAGCGACGATCCGCAGTACAGCTTTGCAGGTGGCGAGCGTTCGGATGGCGCGCCCGCCACATGGCGGTGCAACGACTGGACGGGGTACAACTGTGCCGCGGGCGGCTTTGGAGTCAAGACGGCCGCTGAAATTGGGGCCCTCCTCGAGGCTTGCCCGTCCGCTTGCGCCGACGGCCGGTGCCACAACGCGACGGCGCCGAGTCGGATCCTGCCGGTCAACGGCGCTCGCTTCGAGCTCTCGCAAGAAGGCAAGGAGTGCGGGAGCCCCAACTTGAACCGTGGGCTGTACGGCGGCGCGAGCGCGACGGGCGGGCTGCAGGAGTGCGCCAACGCCTGCTACGCGGCAGACGGATGCACATTCTTTCTCTACGGCCTCGGCTCAAAAGCGGGCCGGTGCTACCAGGAGACGACGTCGGACGAGTCATGCCCCGAGGGCTGGGAGGCCGCCGACTTCAACTTCTACGCGCTGCGCGATCTGGCGCCGCCGTCGCCGCCCAGGCCGCCCATGAGACCTTTGGGCTCGAGGCGGCCACGGCAGCCGTCCTCGCCGCCAAGGGGCGCGACCGCTACTACCGCGGCGGCGGTGGTCAGCGAAGAGAGTGGAGGCATCCAAGAAGGCGGGGGCGGGGGCGGGGGCTTTGGTCTCATGCTGCTGGCCGTCCTCGCCGTCATTGGGGCGTTCGCAGCCTACCGGAAGTGGGCACGCCCTCGAGGCCAGCGCCGGCTCGTTGACGAGAGCATCGCGAACGTCCCGCTCTCATCGCTGGCGGGTGGCGCGCAAGCTGTGGCGCCACCGTTTGCAAACGTCGTCCCGCCGCCTGCTTCTCTGCGCATCTAGTACATTTGCCGGGTGAGCGCGATCGACACTGCTGCCGCGGGGTGCGTAGGCAAGCGTCTCGCGAATCACATGGACATGGGGTGTGCGACTTATTATCTGGGACCTCGCGGGGGTCCGCTAGAGGGGTATTTATTTTCTCCTTTGGGGTAGCCTTTGCTTTCTTTTCTATATTACTCGATAGCGGTCACGCCATAGCTCGCGCATAGGAGCAGGAGGCTAGGCAGAGGCCGCATCGCGTTCGCTGAGCTGTAACAAGTTTGATCCAAAACAAGAACACAAGTTTGGCTCTACTAATATAGCGCGCGGATAAAGCGCGCGCGCCGCGGTGGCGGCGAAATATAATATTATCTCAGAGGAATATAGTGTGAATGCCCGGGAACAGCCCCTCCTGGCCCGAGTGCGGGGCGCGAGGGACAAATAAATTCAAAGGGCATGAAAGTCGTCGAGCTGCTTGATCAGGCCAGTAAAGATGGCCCGCGAGGCAGCCTTCGTGAGTAGGTCGGCGAGCATCACGACGCCGGGGAGGTGTTCGACAGAGATAACGCCACGGCTGACGAGATCGCGAAGAAACTCGGCGGCGCGCAAGATGTGCTTGGTCTTCTTGAAGGCAACGGGATCGAAGGCCATGCCGACGGCGGACTTGCTGTCGCAGTTGATGACGCTGGCGCCGTCGATGGAAAATCCAAGGTCGATCAGTAGCTCACGGATGAAAATCACCTCCTTGGCGGCTAGCATGGCGCCGAAGAACTCTGCCTCGGCACTAGACAGCGTGACGGATCGCTGCATTTTGGAGAACCAGTGGAAGAGACATCCGTAGAAGAAGAACATGCCACCGGAGCAAGAGTACTTCGTGGCCCAGTTTGAATCGACGTAGCTCTCAAGGTTGCGGTTGGAATTCGGCTGCATGACGAGGGCGCGGTCAGCTGTGTCGCGCACGTAGATAAGCACCCGGATGGCGGCTTTAAAATGCGACGGGCCAGGGTTCGTCATAAACCGAGCAAGCTGAGACGCGGAATAAGCAATGTCGACGCGCGTCATATTGGCAAGCCACAGTAGTCCGCCGACGATGGCCATGTAGGCGGTGCGGAATTCGGACATCTCGTCGTATTCAACAGATCCAACGGCGGGCTGATCGTCGGCGGACAGTTCGAGCCCCTCTTCCATAGGCGAGTCGAAGCGGCGTGAGCGGGACCGATCGAAATAGGCGCTGAACTTGGCAACGAGGTCGGCGGCGTAGAGGCCCTGGGACAAGTTCAGGGTCCGTGCGCCGCGGTCACGCGTGATGGCGGTGTTCAGTATCCATTCGAGCTCGCCCTTGTCCTCGGTAGGAAACCGCTTGGAGATGTCGGCAACAAAACGGGCGCGCAGCGTGGGGCAGTTGTCGGCGATGAGTATGTCGTCGACGTAAACTAGCACCCATAAGACAAGATTGCCAGATCGGTAGATATACAGGCACACGTCGATGGTCGAGCGAACGAATCCCCAGGAAACGAGGAAGGAGGTGAGGAGTAGTCCCCACTCTCGCCCTGCCTGTTTGAGTCCATAAAGGCTGCGCCGCAGTTTGCAAACGAGGGAGTTGTTGCCACTGTTGACTCCTGGAGGAACGCGCATGTACAGATCCTCGTCAATGGTCGCCTGTAAATAAGCCTGCCGAATATCGAGAGAAGTCAAATTGTAATCACGGGCGGCGGCGATGGCGAGTACGAGGCGGATAGTAAGGGCCTTGACGACGGTAGCGAAGACGCGATTGAAGTCGACACCATGCTTCTGAGTGTTGCCGTCGGCGACAAGGCGTGCCTTGAACTTGTCGATTGAACCGTCAGCCTTGCGCTTGATTGCAAATACAAAGTGGCAGTGCATGATATTGGCGGCGGCAGGAATCGAAGCAATCGGTACAAGGTCCCAGTGTGAGTGGAGGCACACATGTCCTCAAGGTGTTCTGACCCAAGTTGCCAATTTATCGATAAATCTTTGAGAAATGAATTGTCGATGCAAATGGCGGGCTCGAACGTGCTCGACGAGACCGACTGGACCCATTGTTCAGATCCTTCGGCTCGATTGGGGTTGTGCTCGCACACGCCAGGCGCCCAGGTGGTGGCTGACATACATGGTGCAAGGCTTGTCCATGGTGGAGGTGCCATGGTGGTCGACGCTGTCATGTCGCTGGTGGTGTCGGCCTCGGCGATGCAGTAGTCGAGGCCGTTCTTCCCGGTAGAGAAGTCATACTCGATAGCGGGCACGCCATAGCTCGCGCATAGGAGCAGGAGGCTAGGCAGAGGCCGCATCGCGTTCGCTGAGCTGTAACAAGTTTGATCCAAAACAAGAACACAAGTTTGGCTCTACTAATATAGCGCGCGGATAAAGCGCGCGCGCCGCGGTGGCGGCGAAATATAATATTATCTCAGAGGAATATAGTGTGAATGCCCGGGAACAGGTCTACAGTATATCGGCTAGAGATCGCGCATCGACCATCGTCATTCGTCTCGCTGAGTCTCGGCTCGAGAGTCGAGTCTGCAGTCTCGTCCGGGGCGCGGTGTCTACTCTAAGTGTAGATCGCGCGGCGGTTCTATCGTATCATCGCGGCCAAGCACTGAGCCCTCTGAGGCGCAAGATCCGCCAGCCCCGCCGCCTTCGCCCAATACATCCTCCGAGCCGCTCGTCGGATCTGGGACGGTCCACAGTGCCGGCTCGGGTCCGCCTTTGCGCGGCGCCGCTGCCATAGGCGTAGCAAGTTCGACCAGCGCGAGCGCGCACGCGCCGCCCTCCCTGGCCAGACGGAGAGCGTCGCGAGCAGCCTCCCGTGGTACTGCGACTTGTACTTGAGCAGGCCAGCGGTCGGGACGGGTCCATCGTTGAGGAAGAGCGGGGGTGGCACGCCCACGCTGCCACCCTCGTGGACACCTTGCTCTCTCCACCAGCGGGCAGCCACGTGCAGCAGCAGGGCCGACGGGTCCGCCCGCGGGTCGGGCAGGCTGTAGTCATGGACGCCATCGACGGCAACCACGGTGCGCCCAACCCGCTCGGTGACGACGTATGCCGCCACCTGGTCTGCAGCACCGGAGCGGATGACAAAGAGCGCTACGCCGTACCCCGGTGGGTCCTCTGGCGACGGCCCCTCCTGCCGTTCCAGCAGGGCCAAGAGGTAGGAGCTCCGCCTCGGCGCCCCAGCCCAAGGTGGGCCAAGGTATCTCTCCCCTGCCTGCCTTGCCGCCCTGCGGGCGTCGTCCGCGCGGCGCCGCATCCAACCCTCCCGGCAGCTCACGCAGCTCGCAATCAACTCGGCCGAGACGCGGCAGCCGGGGAACGCCTCGACGCGAAGGCTGCGCTCCGCCATTGCCGACTCCGCCCTGCGGCAGGCCTTGCGAAATGACCGGTCCGCTCGGCTGGCGAGGGCGGAGCAGCCGTAGACGTACTCGTGCGCAAAATGGCGAACGGTGACGTCAGCGCCGAGGGGCGATAGCTCTCCAATAATTCCAAGCCTTTGCGCCTGCTGGGGCGTGAGCAGAACAGGCTCGCCAGTGGCGGCAATTGAGGCGGCAGCGTGTTCGAACGAGTCCACCACGAGCGGCGGCGTGCTTACCATCGCACGCGCGGCTACGCTGCACGCCCACCAGGACACCGCCTCCTCGTCCGCAGCCTCGTCGGTCACGACGAGCGGTCGAGCAGCTCGGCGTGCCTGCATTGGGGCGTGTGGCCTCCAAAGAGTGCTGGACTCGCGTGGCGGCAACTGGTGGCGGAGAGCCACCCGGGTACCCGGGTACCCGGGTAGGTCGAAGCCCCCAAAAAATCCGAACCCCTGGGTGGTGTCCCTTGTCAGGAGCAGGAGCGCCCCACCTGTGCCCCTGATCGTCCTTCCAAAATCCTGCTCGTGCAGGTGGGGACCCTGTCGGTCAGCCTGTCATCCTCCTCCCCCATCCGCATCCCTCGGCCTCGTTAGGTTAGGTTAGGTAGAAAGGTGAAGAACAGTTGTTTGGTTGGGGTATGTAGGGCGGAGAAAAAGAAATATTCGCCGGCCGTGATACACACGTTGACATGCGGAGATGCGGTTGCGGACGCTGCGGCCCGCGGCAGCCTCATATGATTTCGTATTCGGACCCCAGCTGGCTGCCCTCGTCGCCAAAACGAATCTGGACGGCACCTTCCGTGTCCCGTACCTCGAGCGCGTCCACCTCGTCGAGCTTGCCGAACAAGCCGCGTCCGCCCCCCTCGTCGACACGCGTCCTCCTGCCGTTCAGCGCAGCGAGCTCGTCCTGTGCACAGCAGTCGCAACGGGTGAGACCTCGGCCAACCTCGAGGGTCAAGTGACCGGTCCGGACAGTCCTTCATGGCCCCCAGGGTGAGCTTGTTCCGGAACGCGGGTCGCAAGCTCGCACAGAGCTTCGACTGCGCGAGCGGGTTCTTCATCGAGATGTAAAACTGGCGGCGCACCTTGTCGCGGCTCTCGTTGGCGGAGCCGCAATGCAGCGTCTGCTGATTGTACAGTGCTAGGTCGCCAGCCTTGAGCAATCCCAGCTTCACCTAAAGAGGGCCAGCGGCTCGTCTCGCGAGGGTCTCGGAGGATCACCGCACCAAACGTCCACCTCGCGCGAGCGGAGGAACTCCTCGGGGATGGGCGGCCGCCGCACGCCTGTTGCCACCGCCACCTCGTGAGTAGACGCGTCCCTGGTGTGCTTTCCTACGGGCGGCCGCCGGGCTGCCCGAGACACCCGCGTTGCCCAAGCTGAGGTCGCCGCCGAAGAAGGACGTGTGCGCCTACTCCGAGGTCAAGGGGCAAATGCACGACGTGCGCCCCGGCGGGAGGCCGTCGGTTATGCGAGCGCGCGCGCCTCTTTGGTCTGCGTTCCAGGCAGGTAGAGTGTGGGCCCCATCTCCACGTCCACGTCCTGCAGCGCGATGAAGGCCGTGTACGCCGAGGGGATCGGCGTCCACGGCGTGTCCGGGTGCAGGGGCTGCTGCGCCGAACCCGGCTCCGAGGTGAGGCAGGCGAGCTCCTGGAGCACTCCCGCCTCGCCCACCACCTCCTGCAGCAGCGGGCCGAGGACAGAGCCCTCGCCGAGCAGTTCCTGCAGCGCCGCGATCGGAGGACCGTGGAGCGGAAGGAGCAAATCACACCGCTTGTCCAGCAAGACGAGGTCGGCAAAGCGAGCCTTTTGATCGCAGCGGCCGGCCTTGACGTCGGCGGTGGCCTGGACGCGCTCCGCGTCTACAAACTCACGCAGCTCTTCCACCAGCGCCGGCGAGAGCGCGCCGTCGATTCGAACCACGCCTGACGCCTTTAGCTCGGTGGCCAGCGCCGAGAGCGGTCGCGCCCGCGAACCCTTTGTCCTAGTCTTCTTCTTCTTCTTGACCTGCGCGGCTGCAGCCTTTGCACCGAAGCCAATCGGGTTGGCAGCCCGCTTCTGTTCTAGGGCGACTAGTGCGGTGCCGGGCTGCAGGAAGGAGCGCTCCATGACTCCTCGTCGCGCGGTGGCCTTGTTCCGCTCCGCCTCCAAGCCCGAGGCTTGCATCGTTGGAGGCCGAGTGCGGCAGCGCGCAGCGAGACCGATGTGCAGCAGCGAGAGCAACATTGTTCTGCCCCTGCTGCTCGACTGGCGAAATCCGTATTAGGCGCCGGTGAAGAATTCATCAGATTGGCAGAGTGCGTGGACACCGACGCGTGTGACACGTGCGCGGTGGTGGGCAGCTCCGACCGCCTCCGGCTGCACGGCAAGCACGGCGCCCTGATAGACGGCGACCAGTGCGTCTTTCGAGTCAACCACGCGCCGACGAGTGGCTACGAAGACTACGTGGGCAGCTCTGTCGCGTGCGTACCGCCGGAAGCCGTAAAGGGTCCGTTTTCTTGAAACGTGTACCAGCACCTGGTCCCAGGCGCATAGAGAGCTAAGTGCTGAGTGAGGCCCGGGCTGGGTGCCCTGAAGCGTGGGGACCCACGGGGTCCGGAGAGAGGTACTTTCCTACGGCGGGCGGGTGATCGCCGAGGGAGATTTGCGGAAAAAGCGATCACTTTAATGATTCACAAATCTCGGTAAATCTCCGTAAAGTTCTGTGAAAGATAATCACATGCTTGTATTTTCGTAAACTTATTCGCAAACTCACTAAAAGCTCGTCTAAATTTTCCGAAGCACGTCCAAATTTTCCTAAACTTAAGAACACACGAGCATCGAGGCACCGAGCGCCGAGCACCGAGCAACAAGCAACGAGCATCGAGGCGTCGTCGTCGAGGCCCGAGGCCCCCATGGCGCACGAGCGTCGCAAGGTCGCGCGCCCCGTAGCGTCCCTCACGTGCGCCTTGGCCATCGACGCGAGTCGCAGGCTAGCGCGGCATGCCGCATACGCCACGCCGCACGCGTCGGTAGACGGCGAAGGCTCGCGTGTCGCCCGCCAGGGCGCACGGAGCGCCCCGCGCAGGCGGCGCACGGGGCGCGTCGCGCGGCGTGCGCGGCTCGCGGGGCGTCGGACACGGAACGCGCGCTTGGCCGTCGACAGAGCATGCAGGGTGCCACGGCGTGCCTAGCCGAGCCCGATGCGCGTGCGCGTCAACGGCGGAGCGTGGGCGACGCCCGTTACGCGTGGCGCCAAGAATACAGTAGACTCCGGTGACCGAACTTCCTGTGGCGCGCGCGCCGGTCGCGACGCCGCGCGCGTATCACCGCATGGCGACGCGGCCTGCGAATGCCACCTTCGTGTATGCGATCGGACTCGAGCACACGGGACACCACTTTTGGCACCCACTCTTCCCGGCATCGAAAGTGATTCACAACCTGATGAGAAACTTCACGCTGTACAATAACCTGTCGCTCGCTAGCGAGATCGGCGTGCAAAAGCTCGCAAGATCGCAAGCTGTGGCTACCCTTGCCGCCGCTTTTGACTCCGAGCGGCGGCGCGCCGCGGCAAGCGTCCCGCGCGTGCCGCTACTGGGCATCGTGTCCGGATCCTATCCGCAGGGATCCACGCACGTCAGTCCCGACGCAACGCTCCTCGATGAGGGCGCTCGCGCCGCCGGCGCAGACCTCCGCTTTCTGGTGATGCTGCGCGATCCCGTGGAGATCGTGCGCCAATTCACCGAGACGCGCATTGCGATCCTCGCGCGTAGCTGCCGGCTGATGCGCCTGCAGGTCGAGCAGATTCTGCGCGAGGGGTCCTCGCCAGTATTCTTTCTGCCGTACTGGAACACTCTCGAGCTCGCGTCGCCGGTCTCGGACTTCCTCGGCATCGACTTGCGCGCCGCCGTGAGCCGCTCTTTCCACCCAAGCAACCGCTCGACGACGGTGCGCGAGCAGCTGCACAGCGGGCTGGCCTTGCATCGCTCGTGGGCTGACTTGAAGGACTGCTCCACCCGCCTCGATCGCATCCATCTGCACCACTTGCAGAATGCGAAGCGGGTTGTGCCTCCCGTTCCAGCCGAGCGACAATCTGAGTCCAATGTATCGTCTATGACATGAGGGTGAAATGCCTCTCCCGTTGCCATTGCCCTTGACTATCGCGCATGCCGCAGCGATGGGGCGTGACACGCTGCCTGCCCATGCCCGTGGTGACGCCGCGCGACCGCATCACGGAGGAGCGTTTGTCGCGAATGTCCATGGACAGCGTGGACAGCGTGGACGCGCCTCTTTCTCTGACCTCTCGCGTGCTGTGGTACAGCGCCGAACGGCTGCTCCTGCGCCGCAGCCATTTATCGGAGCAACGGCGCAGGTGGTCGCTTTGTGCAGCACTCGCCGCGCTGTTGGCATTGGTCGCTGTCTGCGCGGTGCTGGCACTCGAGATGTTGCTAGGAAGACGACTCACCGGGTGATTGGCGACGGGACGATGCGATTGCTCCTTGGCGACTACACGGTGGCCAGCAATCGGCGGGGCGTGGAGGCTGCGACCTGTCAGGGCTGCGAGTCGCTGCATGGGAGCGCGCCGAGCGACGCGCGCTCGATCTGCCGCGCCGATAGCGGCGAGGCGTGCGTCTACGCGCCGGGCGAGGTTCGAGGCGGCCGGTCGCCGCATCTTTCTACGGCTGAGCGAGCAGCGCGCGGCTCTGAACCCCACGCGCCGGCTTTGCTCGGCGCGGCCGGCGTTTGAGCGTGCCGCGATGCAAGTCAAGGCCGAGAGCGGGCGCGGCGTGCGCAGCGGAAGCGACGAGTACCGTCGCCTCGCGCTCTCGGGCGGATTCCTCACGCTCCTAATGGCGCGAGAGCTGTGCAACAAGGGACAGCGCATCGACGTCTTCGGCATGGAGACGAATGCCAGCGACGACTGCTGCCGCGACATGAACCGTCGCTACGCCTACTACCAGCCTCAGAGCCACCACAAGTGCTGCATCCGGTCGCGCGAGACGCGCGACCAGCATGAGATTGCGGCGTGGGAGCACTTCCAGCGCTCCGGGGAGGTGGCGCTGCACTAGCGAGCCTCACCGCTCACGCTCCTCGGCGCTCGGGCTCAGTGTATAACCATCCCTTTTTTTTGGCAGGCTCGCGCTCCGTTGAAGCGATTTTCAGGTGGCCCGAGTTTTCCCCTTTCTTTTTAAATTACCGTACTGTACTCTATCTACTCTACTCAGAACTCAGAGTCGAGGAGTCCGTGTGGAATCAGCTCATGCAGAGGAATCACTCGGTGCAGACCGGCTGGACCCTTCATGGGGTTCCGCGTGTTGTCGAGGCAGGCAGTGCACCTGCGCCACGCAGATGGCTCAGCGCCAAAGGCCTCGACTCGTTTGGCGAGGTCGTCATCACGCGGCTTCGCCAGGAGTTTCCGCAGGCGTGCCGGCTTGACGAGATTCATTGCCCACTGAGACTTTGAATAATGCTCCGCAGACTTGCTCGCGAGGCAGGCGAAGCAGCGTTTGGTAGCCGTCTGTGGCGTGTCTGCGGCCGCCGCCGACGGCGCTGCGACTGCGGCCGCCGTGCCGTCGCAGCTCCGCAATGTTCCCATCCAGAGAGAGGGGTACAGGGTGCATATCCTATGCGAGAGAGATCCCCTGCCCTGTGCCCAGCCCTCTCCGCGCGGCGATGCGCCCCCCCCCCTCGCTTTTGCAAAATCCTGCAAAGGTGGGGACGTGTCTGTCCTCGACCCAGCCCTAGCTTGGGATGTCCTTTTTATAAAAAATAAAAACGGACACCTCTACTGTGAGATGGGTAAAAAGGAACAGGTCCCCGCCCTTGCGATCTTTGTGCAGGGTGATTTGTGGATGTGGTCGGCGACTAGCCGGGGTCGTCCTCCCGATCGATGGGGGACTAGCACTAGCCGTCTTCCACATACATGGCCGTGCATGCGCCTGCATGCCCGCGGCTTACTAAGGAGGTCCCTCGCTCCACACTGCTTCGGCAGCGTGCACCTCGATCCTGCACCGTGTTTATTGTGACCCCCCCCAATGAACACACCAGTGAGGGAGGGCGAGACGATCGAGGGGTCCCGTACCATGCGGAATCGGCCCTATCAAGTGCTCAAGTGCTCAAGTGCTCAAGTGCTCAAGCTCAAAACGCGAATTCGTTACGTTGTCTGGGTCGGCCGGAACGAAAGCACGATGGCCGACGCGACTCTCCATCTGACCGGCGAGCTGCTGCTGCAGCTCATTCCGCCCATCGATCATATTGTCGAGCGGGCCAGAGACTCCTCTCCTCCCCGCAGAGCTCGGGCGGGGAGAGAGGGAAGACAGCTCGCCTGCCTGCTCTCCACGCGTAGCGAGGCCAGGCGTGACATGGCAGAGGCATCTCGGGCCCTGCCAGGCCGGCTGGCTGACAGTGAGCAAGCCATGGATCCGGAGGCTCTTGCACAGGCGCGTGCGCTTCACGCGTCGCTCGCTCAGACCTTCGCCCTGGACGGACAATCCCCCCTGGAAGGCACCACGGCGGCGAGGCTCTGCGAGGAGCATAGGGTCCACGACAGAGCTGTGAGGGCACTGATCGAGCGGCTTCCGCAGGGCAGCACCATGGGGTGTGAGTGGAGGCACGTCCTCGAGGCGATCCGCGGCCGGCTTGATCACCTCGTGGCGGCAGCTCTTGCGCGACCTCCTCTCGGAGGAGACTGGCACTGGCCTACCGGTGAGGCTCGCTCAGCCCGCGCAGCGACAGGGTGCCTCGATGCCTCGGAAACGTTGCGCTACAACATCGCCGCGATGGTGGGCCTGCTGAGAAGGCGCGCTGACCTGAATTCCGCCCCGTCCCTCCTCTCGTCACCTCCGCACACCCCACCCGTGCAGATTGGAGGCTCTCATCGGTCCTGAGTGCAGACTGCCGATCCTCGGGCAGCAGCAATGGCGCCGCAAAGGGAAGCGCGCAGTGCCGGAGGCAGCCCAGGGCCAGAGCGTGTCGCGTGCTGCAGAGAGCATGCGCCCGGCGGGAGAGGCGACTCCGGTGCGCACCATGGCGGTTGCTCCCGAGGCAACAGTGGACGACGTGGTACCGCCAACAACATTTGCTCGAGTGCGGAGCATACTCGAACCCGTGGCTACGGCGGCTGAGAACGCACTGCGTCGCCTCGAGGCGCTTGAAGCGTCGTGCCAGTCGCGTCCGATCACACCAACCAGGGGGGGGGAGCCCGAGGTGTCAAGATCTCCGGATCATGCCGTGTATGCCACCACCTCTCGTCAAACAGAGGTGTGTGATAGCGGGCGGATGGTGGCATCGCAGAGATCGGAGCTTCTGGTGGAACACGAGGCGAGAAAGGCAGTCCAGGAGCCGCAACTCGTACTCAAGAGGTGCCCGCAGGTGGAACACGAGGCGAGAATGGCAGTCCAGGAGCCGCAACAACTCCAGAGGTGCCCTCCTCCGCCTCCACAGGCATCACTGCCGCCAACTGCGCAGCACATGACGGAACCCGAGGGCGGGGGCGCTATGTTGGAGCTCGAAGGGAGGCTGGCGTGGATCCGAGGCTACCAGGGTGCGGTTCCAGCAATGGACTGGGGCTTCGAGGTCGTCGACGACGACGAAGATGAGGCCACATCGGAGGAGGGTGGTCAGGCGGACGATTACGGCGGGCAGTTGGACGAGGCTCCTTCGTCCAAAACAATCACTGAGGAGGAAATCGCAGTGGGCGATGATATGGAGGAGGAGGGCGGCCCGGCGGCGCTGAAACACGGAGGGGACGGCGCAGAAGAACTTTGCAAAAACGAGGTCGCGGAGGAGTGGAGGGCGGAAGTGGAGGAGGTAGGCAGTTTTGAGGAATTCAGCGGGAGCGAGTATGGCAGTGACGGTGGTGTGGACCAGCATCGGTGTGGACCAGTGTCGGCAGTGACGGCAGTGATGGCGATGAAAGCTATGGAGGTACCTCTCGCATGGGCCAATCACCTAGAGCCCGACCGTTGCTCGTCTAGCGAAGACAGCGTTGATGACGATTGCCCTCAGCTAGCCTTGGCAGCTGGACCATCGCCGCAATGCGACGAGGCTGCTTTAGACGATGGCCTGCGGCATAGCGACAGTGCTGATGAGGCTGCTCCCCATCTAGAATCCGAAGGAGCTGCAAAGGTGGTGATCTCCGCAATCGCTCGCGCCGTGCGGAGGGCAGTGGTGACGGTCGCAGTTGCGTCGGTCTTGCGTGGCGTTGTCAACGCGGCGAGTCCCCCGACACCCGAGAAGGTGCCGCAGAGGACAACGGCGTTGTTCGTGGGGTCTCCCCAGCTAACGCCGTCGTTGGCAGCGAGAGAGACCTCGCCAAGCGAGTCGCTAGACTGGGAGGAAACTTACTTTGTCGACAGTGACAGGCCGTGTGTGACGAAGATGGAGGGCGATGCGACGGCAGGTGAGGTGGAAGCAGCAAAGGGGCTGGAAGGTGAAGAGACGGCGGAGAAGCAAGTTGTAGGCGGGGGCGGTGCGGCAGCGGCGAGCAAGAGCGAGGGCGGGGGCGAGCTAAAGGCGACGGAGACGGAGTCCGAAACCGAGAAGGCGCTTGGCGAGGTTGGAACCTGCGAGGCGACGGAGGCTGCTGCGAGTGGTTGCGTTGCCTTGTGTAGCAAAGAGCCAGTGCAGGATAGGGAGGGAGAGTTGCCAAGTGCGTCCATCGAGGCAGCGGACGCTCCCCCAGCCCCATCTTTGCGGAGCGGATGCCGCCGATATGAGGTTCTGCAGGCAGAGATGAAGCTGCTGCGGGAGGCAATGGCAGCGGCGCAGCTGTCGGAGGGATGCGACGATGAGCTCGAGCGGTTGCGATCGGAGTTTGAGGCACTACGGAAGGAGCTGGCACAAACACAGAGCGCCGCGTGCTTGGCGCTGCACTCCACAGCGCCGGGACGGGTGATGCCATCGCAAGACGCGGAGGCTATGGAGTCAGCAAGTGGGCCACGAGAACTCGTAGCACAGCAGAGGCAAGCCCTCATTCATGATGCTCTCCTGACATCAAAAGACGACATTGACATTGCAACCTCCTGCAACTATCACCGAGAGTCCATCGCCGACTGTCTACCGTCGGACATGCCAACGTGGGACTCGCTCGAGAGCAACGAGACCGATCGTCGGAGGGCCCAAATCGAGGCGGGCGAGTGTTCCATCTTCACCTACGGGCGACCGGGGTCCTGGGCGATCGAGGCAATCGGTATCGGAGCCAATCCGACGATGCCGCAGCTGCTCGACCGCGTCGAGATGGAGCACGCAAACTGCTTGCATTTGGCGCCGGCGGGAGCACCGCTCCCGTCCCGCCGCAGAGTACGAATCGTGGGGGTATAGTTGATCATCACATACGTGCCGCGGCATATGCTTACATGGCTACCTACGGACACTCACTTCCATTTTAAATAGTCTGAGCATGAGACAAATGGCTCTCTTTGACCGCTTGCAGAGGAGTAACCGGCACGGGGGTACTGGGTAGAGTAGAGCTGGGTACTGCCGATGTTGTGTACGACGCTTACCGAGCGGGGGGGGCGTGTCCGGGTCGCTCTCCTCGCAGTCAGCCCAGCGCGCGCCACTCATCATACTCGAGTGTGTTGAGCCGAAAGGGGCAGGAACACTATCATCTACAACTATACCTCCGCAGTCGGAGAGATAGACCCACAACCCACGCACCCAAAGGACACATACATGGAGGGCCCTCCCTGCTGTTGTTGTTGCCAGCGAAGCCGAGGTTGATGAGTGTGGACGTTACTTTGCGCGCGTCCAGAGTCGCGCGTCCAAGCCCCCTCAGCCTCCCTCTTGCAAAATCCCCAATGAGGGGCGTCACAGACGCCCTCCCCCCAGTCCTCTCGGGGCCCTCTCTCATAGGTCTGCGGAGATGGAGATGCGATGCGTATCGATGTTTGTGTCGAGCTCGACCGCCTCCCCATCGTCGGGAGGAGCGATCACCATCGGCGCCTCGGGCGGCTTGGGCTTATACCTGCGGCACGCGTGGCGCGGGTTGAGGAGACTCCATGCCGGACGCGGACTAGCTAAAGGGTCGGGACAAACGGCTGGGCGAGAGTGGCTGCTGCGCGCGCCACGTCGTCTCGCGGGTGTGGACGTTGTAGTAGTACGGCCGGCCAGAGTTGTCGTCGATGTACTCGAGCCACCCGTGGGGCAGCACGCCCTTTTGCGCGTTCATCACCGAGAGGCCCGCCTAACAACTCCGAGGACCCGTTTGCCGAGACGCCGCACGCACGGCTCCCTCCCGAGCCGCGCATCTCCGCCGACCTGCTGCACGATGATCGAGCCGACGAGCTCCATAAGCTTTTTGACCGCGAGCTCCTACGCGGCAAGAGCGGCCGATCCGGAGCGTGTGCTGACGGATGCCTCTCGCCTCGGAGCTGGCGGCGCCGGCTGGATCTCGCGCGACGCCAGCCCAGCTAGCAACTTGTCCAGCGGCGCGGCCATCTCCTCGCCCACGCACAGCTTGGTCTCCCGAATGAGCGCCTATCCAACACCGGGGGCGTCGCATACCTCCATAGACCGGCATTGCAGCGGACGCGGAGGCGATGCCCACCGAGCAAGAGATGTGCACAGTGCGAGGGTTGGCGCCGGCTTTGCCACCCGACCTACGCCCCCAGAGCATCGCGTCTGAGGAGGCCGCCATGGCAGGCTGGTGTCCACCCGGGGAGAGTACCGCTCCGCCGGAGTCGACTGGGAGCGCCGCGAGTTGACGGGCGAGGCGTTGGTGGAGGCTCCGCCTTTCCTCCTGCCGAACGAGCTGCTGCGCACTGCGCCGCCCGCCGCAGCCTTCTTCCGGCCAGGGACGATGGACATGGCGCGGGCAAACAGCCTATTTGCGCAGCACGCCTCGAGCCGAGAGGGTACAAGGCGCTTCCAGCGCTCCCAGCCACGCACCCCGAGTCGGGTTCGTCGCCGCCATCCTCCTCGCGCATCGAGTTGCTGTCCGGCGGCGCCTTGCGAAGAAGGGAGGTCTCTGTGCGGGTAGCTGCGAGCGCGAGCTGTGCGAAGCCGCGCCCGTGGGGCCATCGGGCAGCGTGCGTCTGGTCCACACCCCTCTGTGTGCATGTGTATGTGTGCTCGAGAGAGGCACCTCGGTCTCGGCGGTAGGAAACGTGAAGATCGTCTTGCGTTGCGCCTTGTTCGTGTAGCACGCGCGCCCCGACTCGTGGAGCGACTCAACCCACCCGGGAGGCAGCGCCGGAGGAACCTACGTGCCAACCGATCCGAGCCGTGTCACGGCCAGCATGCTGCCTGGGGCGTCGAGCAGCGCTGCCTCGACAGAGCGGCGGTGAGTGATCGAATTGACGTACACCGTCGAGCCGTCCTCCTCCTTCACCTCCTTCCAGTTTGGTGGCAGCTTCACCTGTGACCGCAAGAGGCGACTTCGTCACTCACACACGGCCGCACGGAAGCGCACCTTGGCGCTGAGCGGGTGAGCACCTTCCCGCTCTTTGCAGACACTGGTGCCCGCCTCCGAAAGAAGGAGCCAGTGCGCTCCTTCTTTGAAGTGATGGTGCCGTCGGCGTCGTGGTTATTGTCCGTGTCGGTGTCGTCAACCATGCAGCTCGGCCTCCTCCTAGCGCGGCTCTGGGCAAGCCGCCGCAGCCGTCCGCTTTTTCGCATTTACATGGCGGATGAAAAGAATTCTGCGATACTCGGCAGCGCGCGACCGCCACCCAAAGGTGCGCTCGTGGCGTTCAGGGCGGCTCGCACACGCACACACACACACGCGCACACACACACACACACACACACGACACACACACACACATGCATGCATGCATGCATGCACAGACACACATCCCCCCTCAAGACCTTCCCACGGGCGAGGACACGCGCAGGCCGCACCTCTAGTGAGGCCCGCATAGTATGTGGGAGACTCATTGCCGCCGCCCCTGCCACCCCTGTGTCAGTGTGCCCGTGGTAGTGAGAGACTGCCGGTGAGAAGCCGGAGGAAGGTCGCTAGACTGAGATGAGACCGCCAGTGGAGTTGGGATTCCACCGTGGTTCCGTGCACCGCGCTGCGAGCCTGTCGTGTCCCTTGTCAGGAGCAGGAGAGCCCACCTGTGCCCCTGATCGTCCTTCCAAAATCCTGCTCGTGCAGGTGTGGACCCTGTCCTCTCCTCCCCCATCCCTCGTTTGGGTTGTCTGTTTTCTTTCTTTCTTTCGGGACTGGCGCGCACTGGCACTAACACAGGTACTCATTGCTGATGAAAAGAATTTTTAGACGCCCGCCGAGCCGGAGGTGCTCGTCCATGGCTTTGACCCAGGGCCGGTGGGCGCTGGTCCTCGCGGGGCGCCCACATGCGACCCTAGCACCAGAGTCTCTCTCAGTCTCTGTCGCCGCGGGCGTGTGAATTGACGAAGGCGGACGAGGGGCGGTCGCTGCCTTTGGCAATAGGCGCGCGAGACATAGGCGCGCGAGCCGGCGCACAGCGGACGAAGGGCGCCGCGCAGGGGGGGTCGGTATCTGTCGGTCGAGGGGGGGCAGAGAAAAGAAATGCGATCCTTATGAGAGTCGTCAAATGCGCGCCAGGTGCTGGCTCCTTCACAGCCATCTTACCTACAAGGATGGCTGAGCTAGCTGCAATTCACCCCTCCTCCAGTCGAATGGCTGCAATACACACACGGCAGCCATCCTTAGTAGACATGGCTGGAGACGCACTACCGCAGCCACACCGCCCGCCTCGAGGTGAGCCCTCTTGGCTGACCTGGCTACATCGCAGCCATCTTGGGTAAGATGGCTGGGGGACAGCCATTTCAGCCATCTACTATGGCTGGGGCACAGCAGTCAGTGCAGCCACCCTCCGGAGCATGGCTGGTGATAATTCGATGGCAGCCGTCCACCTCCCCCGCCACACGCACAAATGGCTGCGCGCTTGTCGCCCCCGGCCTCGTGGGACGGCCTAGGGGACGGCTGCCATCGGCTGCCATCGAATTACCACCAGCCATGGCTCTGGAGATGGCTGCAATCTCCATGACGCAGCCATAGTAGATGGCTGAAATGGCTGAAATGGCTGTCCCCCAGCCATCTTTCCCAAGATGGCTGCGATGTAGCCAGGTCAGCCAAGTTCCCAAGCAAGAGGGCTCACCTCGAGGCGGGCGGTGTGGCTGCGGTAGACGGTAGTGCGTCTCCAGCCATGTCTACTACCGCACGGCCTACTCGCCCAAGTACTCGCTCTCTTTTATGTCCCACCATGCAGAGCGCATCTCTCTCTCTGTTGTGCGAGGCGTGAACCGCGCCATTCGCTCTCACCTGGCAACCCTGTCTGCACGTCTCGCGCGCGCGTGAACAGGGCTCCAGGCCCCAAATGACGTGTGAGTGTTAGAGTTGTTTGGTATTGCTAAAAAGGAGGATGGCTGCCGTGTGTGTTATTGCAGCCATTAGACTGGATGGAGGATGTGGCTGCACTGCAGCTAGCTCAGCCATCCTTAGGTAAGATGGCTGTAAAGGAGCCAGCACAGCCATTCTCGGCAGCTGATTCTGGGTTATGGCAGTCTCTCACTACCACAGACACACTGACAGGCGAGTGTGAAGTTCTTCTGCGCGGTTCGGATATACGTAAAAAGAAAGAAATAAAACAGACAACCCAAGGGAGGGATCGGATATAGGTATTTTCTTGTGCCCGGGTGAATTCTTCTGCGCGGTTCGGCTGTATAATGGCAGCGGCCGCCGCCATTGTCCGCGCTGCGTTCGCATCGGGTGCGGCGCCGCCTCCCGGCAGGTTGCGCGCGTGCTCGCGGTGCCACGGGGAGGGCGGGCTGTACACGCGGGGAAAGCGGCGCTCAGGTGGCGCCGCGGCCGTGATCCGCCGGCCGTGTGCGAGCTGCGGCGGCATCGGGCTCGTCGATGGAATGCTGCCTCCGCCGCGACATGAACCGGGGCCCCGGGACCGTGCGTTTGTCGGCACCGTAGCCATTGCTGGCGGCGGCATCGGCGGCGCCGCAGCGGCGCTGGCGCTGCAGCAGCGGGGCTTCCGCGTGGTCGTGTATGAGCGCGACTCAAACTTTGACCAGCGCGCGCAGGGTTACGGCCTCACGATGCAGCAGGGGGCGACTGCGCTGGCGCAACTCGGCCTGCCCAATGAGGGCGTCTTCTCGTATGCCCACTCCTCCTTCCTACCGGACGGAACGCTCCTCGGGGAGTATGGGCGGGGCGTGCACGAGAGCACGCGCGAGCGGATGGGCAACGGGAGAGGGAAGGCTCAGCGGCGCAACGCCCACATCCCGCGGCAGGCTCTGCGGGCGGCGCTTCTCGACCCGCTCCTGCCGGGGACGGTGCGGTGGGGCAAGGCAATCGCTCGCTTTGACGCCGGCGACTCGGGCGT